GAAAGCAGAGTCCAGAAAGATTGCAAGGAAGTTCCACCTACTCTGGTTAAAACTCTTCGACCGATTGCCGCACAGTAATGTTGTCAGTGGATTTACAGGCAGTGGAATTTATGCAGGCATTTAGAACAGAATTGTAACTTCTGTGGATAATACTCAGTCCCAGCAACAGTGAAACCAGAACGATGAAGGAATGTAGTTGATGGTTATCAACCAAGTACTTCTGAGACGCCACAACCTGTTTCGAATACTGTTGGACTATCACCGTTTAAACTACTGCAACAGGCACTAATAAAAATGATTTCACCGAGGTGTTCGCCCATTAACTTGGAAGCCATGGGCAGTGCTCAAAAATAAACTGCCTGGAGAGATATTACGACAGAGGAGGTATCAGTAAGGTTTCTTAACGAAGAAATGGTAAAAAAAGCCAATGTATCTACATATACAAATTAAAAGGATGCCAATTCCATCTTTGCCTGTCAAGCAAATAAAGAGCAGACTGGAACAAGTAAACAAACGAGGTACATGCAATATTATTCTTGTGGTTTGGGTTTCTGTTAAATATGAAGGTAAAATAATTGTGCATACTTTTTTGGGACTTGCTATTAAAACACCAGACGAAGTCTCACACACGGCGAACCTTTTGACCAAATCGCTGATTGAATCCTACTAGGTTTTTTCATAGAACGCTGACATTGATGGTGCTTAACTAAAACTACCTCCATAAAAATGTCCCAACGTGCCCGCATTAGCCGTGAACAATATAGATTTCGTCAGCCAGACGCGGTTAATAAAAAGTTTATACCGCAATCAGCCTTGACAAAAACCGTAATATCATGATTACATGTTTTTGCAATAGCACTTACCAAAATTTACCCTAAAATCAAAATTTGCTTAATGTCATGATTTTGTACGAAACTTGTTAAAACCCATATTGGCGGTTGATCTGTTCACTGAGCTTGGCAATTTTTGTTGCAAACGTTTCGTCACCAATCGATTTGACATCATCAATGCATAGTTGAGTGTCCTGCAGTAGCTTAAAGGAGCATCGGTGTGAGTGCTCTGAGCGTGGTATGTGTGCGTTTCTATACCGCCGTGGTTTGCCTTGGAGACGAGTAAGCCTATTGATTGGGACTTCGATCCACGTTCAGCTTGGTTGATGGCCTATAGGCAGATAATAAATTGCCCCTGCAATTACCCGATGAATCTCATGTAGAGCTGCATTCAAACACTGTTCAAAGAGCGGAAATGTACTGCTGCGCTGCCGAATCGGGGAAAGAGGAAGTCAATCACCTATATTGCGTGTTCAGAAACAATGGTTATCCATGAAATTTCTTCAGAAAAGCTTTACGATACGAATGTCTCAGTAGTAGCGGTAGTCAGCTGAGCAAGCAAACAAACAGATAGTGCTCCCCTACAACAAGAACGTCTCACAGTCACATGGAATATTTGTGGCTCACCTGCCGAGTGCCAACCTAAGGAAATTGTTCTCAAGACCCAAAGAATTGTCAATCAAGCCGATGCATGCGGCGCCGTCTAGCGTATAAAATTCAGCGGCTGCTGTAAAAACTACGACGGACAGACTGGAAGAAAGCTTTTTTTACAAGAATCACTGAAACAAGCGGCCGTTTGAAGACATGATCCACACTCGTTGGTTTCTGCGCTTGAAGATCCAGAAGGCCACCATTTCGATCTGGAGGATGTAAAGATCTTAGCACGTGGAAGGACAAAACTCGCGAGGGAGTTTTTGGAATCCTGGTACTTTACAACACATTCACTCAATCGACACGTCGAACTGGACGCAGGATATGCAACACTACTGGCGAACGACTGCCAACTCCATCAATTGAATCCGGTGAATCATGAGACTAGACAACCAGGACTGACGACAGACTCGCTCACAAGAGCTAACAGACAAACGTCACGAAACACAAGTGGTCAAGGTCGAAAGACATCTATCAACCAAGCTAAACGTGGATAGACTTCCTAACCAATAGGATTACTCGTATCCAATGCAAACCACGGTGGTATAAAAAAGCACGCACACCACGCTCAGAGCACTCTCACCGAAGCTCACGCCACTCAACTATGCAATGATGCTGTCACCTTGATTGGTGACGAAACGTTTGCAACAAAGTTGCCATGCTCAGCGAACAGTTCAGTCGCAATCTGCGCAACCTGAGCTACCATTCTTCAATTCTATAGCCAGTGCCCTTATTGTTTTACTGTGAGATGACGTTGATAGTGGTGGAAAGCGATATGCTAACTGTACCCAGGAGTATACCTATTTTTCCCCGGCCATGATGGAAGTAGGTATGCTGTGCGGGAAAATGCGTATAGACAATAAATTCATTGACCTGGTTTTCGGTGGTTATAAGCTTAAGGTAAAATTTATGACAGAACTTAAATAAACTCTCATCACAGTGCTTAGAGCTATGGCATGAAAAAGATATGTCTAATCTAAACTCATTTTACCCCAGGTGACCCTGTCTAACGAAGCAGACGAATCGATTGGGTTTCTGATTCGTGCTGCACCCTCTTTTATAAGGCAGCCTCCTGAAGCCACTTGTTCACCCACATTGAGACAATCTAACATTGGGCTACTGCCATCTCACGCAATATAGTAACGTTTTGCAGCATCTTTTCTTGCTTATTCGCTATTGATAGTGGTGTGGAAAAGAAGTGCACCGTTCCTCTGCAGTTTTCCAGTTGACCCTGAAAGAATAGTGACCCAGAGCTACTTTGACGCAGTCATTCTTTTCCATACTCCTTCTTGATGGCACACGGTTCAAATCGGTAAACGACTTTGTTTACTTGGGAATCTACTTTTCTGCTTCTGGTCGACGTTTGCGAATATGAGGCACTTGTGAATTCATCGAGACCTCTTTCTCCGAATTGTTGAACTGCCTGACTGTGCTCTAAGTAATGTTCAATAGAAGCTTGTCTTTGCCGTTTCTCGTAATTGACATGTGCCCGACACTTGGTATTCTATTACGATTGGGGATTTGTGGTCTTCACTTGACGATGGCTTGCATGCCTCAGCGTTGGTTTGGGTTAAGCTTGATGACAAACTTTCCACGCGCATTTAAGGCTACTTACGCCAGTTTGGTCAGGGATTAGAGGTCAAATATATTTAATCCCCGTGTTTTATCCGAAGTTGGCCAAGTTCGATTGCCGGTCGATTCATCTCGTTTCTTTCGTACCCGGCCGATACATCCCTGAGTCCACTCGTCCCCAGGCCCGTCGTTTCATACATTCATTCATTGCCTGGCTGATTTTATTATTATCATATACCTAATTTGACCGGTTTACATCAGCCCCCATTAGTGCTACCACTTTTTTTCAAAACTCTTCCATCCGCCTTAGTAGTATGTTATTGTAATAAAACATTTCTTGTATTTGCAGGAAAATAATATGACTAACTTCAAGGGGCAAGAAATGCTTTATAAAGTAAACACTATTAGAAATGTAAGATGGGGCCCAAAGCCTTCATATACGTTATGCGGCTTGCTCGATGATAGTTATCCAATGGTTGCTGTACCCGTTGTTGTGGCAGAATGCACACTTTTCAGCTGGTCTCTGACTGCCAGCTGTACCTGGTAAATGGCGGCAACTTGAACGGAAATGTCATCTCTGATCCCATCTAAGAAAAGTCGCGTATTTGGGTGATTGCATGCTAGCTTAGCCTATAGCCCATAATGTCAGCCTTCGCATATGCTTGTTCTGCGTGCTATTCCTTCTGACACAGATTCTCGCTTTTTCCGTATCGCAGGTGAAAACGAAGCTTGCCTGTAATCGCCCCCTCTCCCTGTCAACCGCCATCCTCCAATATGCGTGTGCTCGAAGTACGCCACAGTGTAGAATGTTTCTTCCACTTATATACCATTGCAGGCCGGCATCGAACCATAGCGCGTAATTTGCCTTTGCTCTCATAGGCAGATTCATACAAATTTCTTTGCCAATGCCTATAATACTGATGATTATGAACATAGTGAGTTGTGTTAGTGCATCAAGACCTTTTACCGAACTGCTTGCCTTATGATCATCTCGAAGTCTGCATATATGATAGTGCACAACCCGTTTTCAACTAGCAGCAATCGGACGTCTGCCGTCAGTCAGCCAAACTCAAGCGTTGCTCAATTCATCTAGTGAATGTTCACTTCCCTGAATGGTTATTTTCTCACGTCACAAAGCACCATGTTCACGTACCCTTCTGGAATGTCAAATTTTGATCCTGTGGCTAATGCTGGTGATCATTTTCATGAAGCTCGTTTTGTCGCTTCCTGTACCATACTCTGTGTGTGTGTGTGTGTGTGTGTGTGTGTGTGTGTGTGTGTGTGTGTGTGTGTGTGTGTGTGTGTAGGTAAATGGACGGACGGACCAAAGTTACACAGTGAACTCTTTAACCGCAGCAGTACATCGATGCAAAATCCCGATGTACTCTTATGGCTGTTCATGATGACACCTGTGTTGTCACAACGCTCATCAAATAGGCTGGATTCGTCGCAGTAAGTTAGGCAGAAGAGCTCGACGGGAGCGATATTACATAAGCTCCTATCATTTTTGTTGTGCCTTCAGCCGAGTTGGGTGGCCGATTGGTGCCAGTCAAAGCTTTGACACTGCTGCTTTTGTTGTGGCAGTTTGCTGAAGCAACCGCTTGTTCAACCTTCATCGGCTGGTTGCCTAGTCGTCTGCGCGGCTGCTTTGGAACCGTAATGTCACCGGTTCGAATCCGCGTAGGGGAAGGCGTCCTCGCGGTATATTCAGCCTAGCACGACTGCTGTTGGTCGCGTGGGAGTGAAACGCCATTATATCGAACACCTGGCAGTGAGAGTGGATTGCGTTAAACCGTATCGACCTTAATCTGGTTCTTCTTCTGGCTACTTCAGTTCTAATGAAAAGCCAATTGTGTGTGTTTTTAAACTCTGTGCTAGTGTGTTGTTGTTTAATTCACAGAATAATTGGAGGTGTTTATTGTTGTATTCTGATCTTCTGTTTATCAGAACAACGCTCAGCTGGGTCCACAGATGGGAGAACCTTTGAGTCTTTGTATTCTGAGGCCGAAACCCGAGTCTACAGAAACTCGATCGCCACCGACATCCCCGGACTGGGAAAGAATGAATGTGCCTTGGGAGAAAGAACTATTGGATTCCAAGGCACAGTGTACTTTTGAAAGGTTGGAAACTGATCAGGATGTCCCTGTGATTCCATTGGAAGAGCGTTGTCGACCGGCGCTTTCTGTGGCGACGGCATCTTGTGTTTCTAAAAAAGGTATTAGTCTACACTATCTTCATACACGCATGTTTTCACATATAATTCGACTCTTGAGAAATCACATGATGATTTACTGCTTGCTACTACATATTAATAAAGATAACACAACGGAATGAAAATTCTTTCTCAAACTTTCTACCCTTTTCTGTCATGTGTGAGTACTTTCCGGACTCCAGCGATACATGATATACGCGACGTAAACAAAATTCCATAAGTGGACACTTAATCCAACGCCGATGTCAGAAGGGGCAAGTTAAGTGGAACACTGCAATACAGTGGAATGTGCACGAGGGTAGCGTGCAGTCGCAAAAGTCAGCCTACCATCTCACTGAGTAGATTAACCTCGAATGGAGTCAACCAAGTAAGGTTATATGATAGAACTATGTTACCTGTGTGCGTAAAAAGTTCGGTGCCCTCCCGATCACTAAACATTTCTTCTGAGAAAGCTGATCGTGGCTTTATAATTCTAATATAGCGTATGTGCTGAGGTTGAGACCCAACAATCATGGCGGAGGTTTGTGTGTTGCGGACAGTGTTTAGAAACTCGGATTTTCCGATCTTCTCTTGACTGTTCCAGGAACGGCTACCTAAATGACGCTCCCTTAGATACACGATAGTTGTAGAAGTCAGCAAATCCTTCAGGACGTCTGAGTTTCTTCAACGAATGTAGTATGGCTCGTGATAAGCGTTGTTTTATCCTGGAATGGCTCGGTGCCTGCGAAAGAAGTTACATTGCCCAACTAGGCTAGCCGAATAAACACCTAGCGAACATTTCTGAGCGTTACTCCTTCCGTCCTTTTGTGATGCAAAGGGTGTAATGTTATGACTGGCAATTTAGTTGACATCTAGGTGTGCATGCGTCCAATCTTAACCTTGATTGATTTGGTCATTAATGCGCCGGGAGTCTATCCAGTATGTACAAGACTGAATCGCATTGAGGAACATTCAACTCAGTGATACCATGCTTTAAACCGTCTATTTTGTCACGTTCACGTTTGTTCACGTTACTTATGATCGGACAGCAACCAGCCCTTACGACCTGGTTCAGGGAACAATATTTGCCACATGGGCTCTGGTCATTCACGTCATCCTTCGGGATCATTTGAAGAAGCTACATTCGCAAACTATTGTACAGTCGGACTGTGTCGAGCTGGGACACATACACTTATACCGCTCTTGTCTGCAATGAAGTGTTTCGGTCGGGTATTCGCTAGCTGTCGTCTGTATGTTAAACGTTGCTGATTTTGGGAGTTTCGGAACTCTGTTGTGTCCTAAAAAGCAGATGAGTAGCACAGAGAGATAGCAATATATCGAACACTTTGAACGTGTGGGGAAGCACTGTAATCGTACGGGAGGCAGAAGGCCAACAGTGATTGTGGCTTTGCGTGAAAGTGACGGTGAAGGATACATTCGACCTGATTGACTGTGCAAAACATGAATATTGCTGCCAAGGTAATGTGTTTACTGGACGTACAGTCTTTGTTCACTAACATTCCATTAAGAAACACTGGATTTCTTACGTGAGTTCATCATGAGTAATAAAGTAGTGTTGCCGATTCCCGTGGAATATCTTAGGGATTTGCTGCTACTATGCATGGAAAATGTGCATTTCTTATTTGAAGACAAGCCGTACCGACAGGTGGATGGTGTAGCCATGGGAAGTCAGCTTGGCCCGGTATTGGCTGGCATCTTCATAACGATGGTTGAAATGCGATGTGAGTCACACACCAATCAAACGTGTTTATACAGGCGATAAGTAGATAACACACTAGTGCTCGCCCGAAGTGGAGACGCTGTTCTATCTTTTCTCAATGTGCTCGATAACGCACATCCAAACGCCAGCTTTACTTGTGGGCTAGAGGATAACAATTGCCTTCTGTTTTTGGATGTGTTGTTGACCAGCCGAGAAGACGGCTCCATAAAGCGTTCTGTTCACAGGAAAGCTACATGGACAGGATTGTATGAACACTTCAACAGCTTCGCCTCTATCCAATACCAGCGGTGCTTTGTCAAGACGCTATTTAGTCGAGCCCGCATAATATGCACTGACGACTGTTTGGAATCGGAATTGCTGTTTATCACACAGACGCTACGGGCCAACGGATATCCAGGGGCGTTTATTCGATTCCCCAGTCAACTGAAGGAAAACAGGTCGAAGGTACTTACTGTGCCCAAACTGTCTGTCTACCTTCAATTACCTTTTAAAGGTGATATTGTGGCCGCCCAACTTGAAAAACCTTTGCATACAGCGATTCGTCGGACAATCAGTGCCGCCAAATTCTACCCCATTTGGGAGACCAGGAAGTTGCCTATGACTCCAGTGAAGCCTACTCAATCGATCTCCACCACAACCCATTGTATTTACCATTTTGTTTGTAACTGCGGTAGTATTTACATTGGCAGAACAGATCGATCCTTGGGTACACGAATTTTAGAGCAAATCCCAAAACGGATTGCTGAACTATCGACACAACAAGCAGCCGAACGCGAAAAGGTGTCTAAGCTGCCGGCATCATCTATCGCCAGACATCTACTCGGAACAGGCCATAGGGTTGATCCTAGATCAACATTTACAGTTATCTAACGAAATGACAATCCCAAAGTTTTAAGCTTTGCCGAAGCGGTGGCACTTAACCGGCATCGCCCTATCCTTTGTGTACCAAAACAATTAACAGTCTTCCTAAAGCTTCCTTGGGGCTCATGACCCTAAGATCAAGCTCGTTGATCTGTTAATCTTGCGTCTACATAATTTTCCTATGTGACCAGTTTCAAATCTTTGCTTTTTCTGTCACGTTATTCCGATCTAAGTTGTTAGTTTGCGAGTGAGCAGATACCACGAAATGGTTCCATCTCGCAGTACCAATTTTCTTATTGTCTTTTTTAGAATGACAAAGAAAACTCAGTGCTTTAATCCACAATCGTCATCGTCGTTTAGTACGCTGGGCAGAGCACTTCGAAAATCAGTTTAACTGGCCACCAGCACAACCGAGTCCATCTTTCGGGATTCATTGTGCTCCCTGGTGCGTGCATGTTTCTCCACCGATAGGCCGAGATATCCCATGAGCTTCGCTTGTCAAAGTATCACAAGTCATCTGGTCCAGATGAACTTCCTCTTACCCTCTTTTGATATGGGGGTCCTGCTGTCACCCCTGAATTGACATCTCCTTTCATCAGATTCGGACTACCGAAACCATCTCGTCCGATTAGAAATTAGCGGATGGGGTACCAGTTTACAAAAACGAGACCGGACCGTTTGCTCCAGTCATCTTGGGATCAGTCTCATTTGCGTTGCATCCAAACTATTCCTGCGGAGGCTCAGTTGTGTACAGGAACAGTACCTGTGTAAAGAGCAAGCTGGGTTTCTCCCTGGTTGCAGTTGCGTTTATCACATCTTTTCGATCTGTCTACTACTTGAACACCGCCATACGTTCAGCCCACCAAGCATAGTCATAATCTTGGATTTCGAGCCGCGTTTGGCTCTGTTAACAGATTGGCTCTTTGGGACTGTTTACTGAGGAGAGGAGTACCTGAGAGGTTCATCAGCATTCTCCGTGCCATTTACCGCCAAACTTCGGGCCGCGTGCGAGTATGTGGGAACTTTTCGCTCTCCTTCAATATCACTAGTGATGTTCTGCAGTGTTTCCAAGCATCTTCATTCTTGGAAATATTATGGTGTTGCTCATTCCAACACTGGCACCCGACGACCGCGGTTTCGTCTTGGTTTGGACTCATCAGGTGGAGATAGCCTGAGCTGGGGTGGAAATCAGAGCCTAGTGGTTCATGGCTGAAGTCATAAGCACTATGCCACTGAGATCTGTGAGCACCACTTGGAATCCGTTGTGGTTGGGTTGCTACAAGCAACCTCTGTTGAGACCTCGGTTCACTTGAGGTGGACCTCGGTCATTCCGATCACAAGGACCGAATGTGAAATCCCCATTCTTGTTCAACTTCGCCATCGACGAGATCCTGGATACTGTCCTGGAAAACTGAGTCCTGCGGCTTTGAACTGTTCCCGGGTGACCGCCTTCAGGACTTGGAGTACACAGATGACATCGCTGGGATTTGCGAGTTCTCACAAACTGCCTAGCATATGTTGCTTAGAGTAGGAATGTTCGCCTCCCGATTTCAGTTGCTCTTTACCCTTTCCAACTGTAAGTCCCTGTTACAGGACTTGCCAAGTGCATCTCCTTCTCTCACTCTCGGTGGCATCTACTGGAAGTGGTCGACAAATTCATTTGCCTTGGGAGTTGTCTTAATGTTAGCGGTTTAACGGATGAGAGTTCCTTGCGTGTCTCCTAGGCTAGAGTAGTTGTTGCTAGTCCCCGTCACCTGTCGCTTCGTCTTGATTTCAGCCTCACTCTCAAGGGACGTGTCTACAATGCCGCGGTACGAGCTATTCTGCTGTACAGCTATGGCCCATTCGCATAAGTCATGTTCAGCATATACCTGTCTTTGATCACCGTTGCACGCGAAACATTGCTGGTGTTCGATGGCAGCATCCCACCAGTGATTGAGAAGTCCGTGGGCGAGTCTTCAAATCTGACAACCTCCGTCGACCGATTGACAGCGTTATTTCATTGCAGAGACTTCGCTGATCTGGGCATGTGCTTCGCATGCCTGCCTAGTGGCTACCACGACGCATCTTATTTGCGAGCGACAACAAGGAGGTGCAATCGTCGAAGCTAGTTGTTGTTTAGGGTTACCGACTCCTGACTTGTGGACTAAAGAAGCTCGTGCGCGTTTGGTTGCCAACGTTATTGCATATGGCC